TAGATCCAAGACCATCCTCACAAGGTATTCATTAATTTCATTTAATTTTGATTCTTATTTTTTCTTTCGTCATGAGCTTAATTACGAATCCAGATATTATATCTGTGTGTAATATATTATTTGTTATATCTATGTTTGGGGGTTTATATTTAAGAGGGGGAGGGGAAAATCGAGAAACGTATATGCACGTGACAAGCATTGAATCATGGATCTGGGGCCAAGAAACATTCAAAAGCGTAGTCTGGGGCGGGGCTGGCTGGGCTAACAGCATAGGCTGCTGAAATCTAAAAAGAAAAAGCGTAGCTTCAGCAGTTAGCAGCTAGTGCCCAATTTCATATTGGAGTGGGGCGCCGGGGGTCCCCTCTGCCCCTTCCCCACATCGCCCTGATTTGACGTCGCACATGACCCCAACTTTTCCTTTTTCCATTTCTTCACATTACAGCTAAATCTGGGATTTCGCCCCCTTCTTTTACCTTTTAAATGCCCATCATCAAATTATCATCTCAGATTGAGAAATCATTGGAGAACTCGGAAGAATGTGGTCGATAATTCTATACAATTGGATATTTGATCGAGAATTTTGAAATAGACAATATTTGCTTATACCAGTTAGATCTTTTAATGTCTTTCGAATCTGGTATATCAAAATACTTCTAATGCGGTGTATTAGAATTCTGTTCTTACTCAAATTAAAGGATATGATGGGTATCAAGAAATTTCTTATCTGGGAAACTTTCTTCACTGTACTATCACATATTTGAGTGTTCAGTATCATGCAAAGCATCTGCTACTTCATTCAATAAAAAAAATGAATCCGACTGAAATTTACTGAAAGTAGAAATTATGCTAATCAGCGTGTAATTAAGGACTTTTTGGTACAGTGCGGCAGTGAATACTTCTTTTGGTTTTGGTTTTATAATTTAATGCCGGATTGAGCAGGTGGCTATCTTAAAACACACGATTTCCTGGAACCACAAGAGCGAAAAAGGAAGGCCAGTAGCAAGAAAGAGATAAACGTGGAGAGGCCGCCACCACCGGTGCCGCCGACTTCCGTCGAGCATTTTCTCCCCGGAGGGATCGGGACTTTCAGCATAAGCCAAGTTTCATATTTTGATCAGAGGACTCTGCCGAAGCCGGAAGGTTCGGTTTTTACTGGTGCTCGATCGAGTAGCAGCGGTGAGAGAAATGATGAGAACTCCAATGGAAGTGGATTCACTCTGTGGGAGGAATGTGCAGTTAAAAAGGGAAAGACAGGGAAGGAGAATATTTTGGGAGATAGGCTCCATGGTATGAACTTATTAATCTTTTCATTCGCATGCATGCAAAAACAAAAATTATTCTATAATTATTTCAAGTTGTAGAATAATAAAAAGAGTGAAAATTATGGTGGGCTTGTTAAAGATCTGGGCTTAGCGTATGGGCTGTGCTAAGGTGTTAAGCCCAGACAATACGTCGATGGCTTTTATTTGTCCCTTCCTTTTAAATTTTGGCCTGTGGACAGAACCTCGGGCGAGCACGAGCCAATGGACGGCGTCCATGGAGCGGCCGTCGCAATCATCTTCGAACAACCATCACAACGCTTTCAGTTGTTTCTCATCTTCTCAGTCAGTCTTTATCTTTTTCTCTCTTTCTCCTTTTCAGTTTCATTCTGAAATTCTCAGTGGAATTGATTCCAAGTAAATCTTTGCAGGCCGAGAGGAAAAAAGAACCCGAGCTTCATGGAGATGCTAAAGTCGGCCAAGAGTAACTCTCAGGACGAGGAACTAGACGACGATGGTGACGTTGTCATCAAGAAAGAGATCTCTACCGCCAATAAAGGTATTATGCTGCTACCAGATAGCAATTGAAAGATAATTCTTCCAACTTTCTTTTATTACTGTATCGAAAGTATCCTAACTAAGCGTTTCGAAATACTTCTGCAGGAGAGTTGAGGATTAAAGTTGATGGGAACATCTCTGATCAAAAGGCGAACACTCCTAGATCAAAGCACTCTGCGACAGAACAACGAAGAAGAAGCAAGATAAACGACAGGCAAGTGTTTCTCCTATTATTCAACTTAGAATTCATTAGTCAGTCGACCAGTGCAGTCAAAGGGAACTTCTTTGTTTTTTGTTATATACTTGATAATATGACGGTAGCTTGTAGAACCTGCCATTAACTTTGCTGTAATGTTCATATTAGGAGCATTGTTATTTCTGGAAAATCACCGAATCTAGCGGGTTCCAGTCTTTTATTATAGGGCTTCAATTTACGACAACAATTTTAATTTCATTACTTTTGGCCTAAATCATAGATTGGTAGAATCTACCCAGTTCACGTCCCTTTATTGATGAATCTTTATTGGGAACGAGAAACGAACATTCTTGGGTAGTTTTTATTCCCGCGTTCCTCTTGTGCTCTCTTCACAGTGGTTTCTGTAATAATTTCACCTCAGTAGCATTCTTCTTGGATGTTGTTGCCAACTGCTTCTAATATAACATCTTTTCTGTCTATCATATAGATTTCAGATGCTTAGAGGCCTCATTCCTCATAGTGACCAAAAGAAGGACAAGGCGTCTTTCTTATTAGAGGTGCACTTCTTAATAATTTGCTTTACATTTTCCACATTATATTTTATTGATCCATAACGTGCTTTGCTATTTTTCTTTTCAGGTGGTTGAGTACATTCAATTCTTACAGGAAAAGGTTCAGAAGTATGAAGGTTCATACCACGAATGGAATCGAGAAATTGCTAAATTAATGCCGTTGGTAATCACATGCTTCTAGCTTTTTTGCATTCGATTCATGATTGAAATAACTCCTCTACTTTTGAATCAGCGTGTTTTATGTATACAATTTGTCGGTAAAGGAATCTGTATTTTGCTTGTAATTGAGGCCCTAAATAATATAGTAAATAGATAATCCGTAAACAGCTAAATTATATTTCTAAATATCACATCTGACTGCGCAGAGAAACAATCAACGAAGTGCAGATGGCTTTAATGATCAATCTCGAGGGGTAGATAGTGGGCCTGGTCCTGCACTAGTTTTTTCAGCAAATTTTGTTGAGAAAAATGCCCCTTTATCTCCCCTTGTTCCTGGGAGTTCACATAATGCAGTCGATTCTGACACAAGTTCCGCGACAACCTTGAAAGCAGTTGATCACCATCCTGGAAGAACAAATAACGTAGTACCATTTCCCATGTCCATTCCACCAAAACTTTATGCACCTACAAGGGATGGAAGTGTGGTGCCCCAAGCCTCGAAACCATTGTCATCCGACACCGATCACCCTTCATCGCAGTCTCAAATCCTGTCGTATCAGGCCAGATGCTACAACAATGACGATGCTGTTGCAAGTGAATTACAGAAAGAACAAGATTTGACCATTGAAGGTGGTACCGTTAACATCTCAAGTGTATATTCTCAAGGGTGAGATTTTGTAATTGCTTTCTGGTTCATCTTCGATCCCTTCTATTTTTATATCCTTGGCCTCTTTATTCTACTCCTCTTTTGTGCACTTACGCAATATTTGGATCACGTCTTTAAAATTTATTTTTGTGAAGATCTTATTATTGGGCAGCTCTCAGAGAACAGCGGTTTGACAACTGAATGACTAATCAATTTCCTGTTGATTTTGCTAGCAGGTTGTTAAATACTCTCACTCACGCACTGCAGAGTTCAGGGGTGGATCTATCGCAGGCCAGGATCTCTGTGCAAATAGAACTCGGTGAACTAGCAAATAGGAGATCCACAGCTTCATCATCCATTGTCAAGGTATTCAGATGCTTCCTTCGCCACTAGAACAAATATTTGTGTTATTGTAGGGACTACTACTAAATCGTTTTCATGATTCCTAGGATATCAACATTCCCATAAACGATATGGAGACGATACACACTAGAGTTTCGGCTGCAGAGGATTCCGAGAGGGCCACAATTGAAAAGCTAGTGTGAGAATTCCTTTCTTTTCATAATTTTTTATTCATTTTTTTTGTTACAGCAAAATGTATGTCTAGTTTAATTCATTTAGTTGGGGATGCCATGGGCACAACGGGCATGTAACATTGACCTGAATTCTTCTTTGTATTTCTATATAGAGGCTTCCACCTAATATATTGTGAAGCTGCTTTTTATTTATTTTTTATTTTCTTTTTCCTTTTCGTTTTTTAATCGGAAGTCTTCCAGTTATGTATGTAAATTATGATTGTTTCTTTTAATAATATAAAGCCTTCCTTTCATCCTTCAATTACATATACATACTCTTTTCATTCCGTCCACTAATATCTCGCATTCTGCAGGCATTGAGTTAATTTCTCCCGTCCCATTTTAAGTTTGTAAAAGAAGAAGAGTCAACTATACCCTTTCACTTGGTGTTTTAACATTTATGTCAATTTCATATTTGCCTTTATTTTTGTATTTTTATTATTCCAATTGTCTCTATCACCAACAAGTGGTGCTTCAAAGGTGTCAAAACAATGGGGCATAATTGTAAAAGTGACTAAAATTTAACAACAAAAGAAGAAACATATTCTAAATTAGTGTTGGTGTTTGGTATAATGAGGAAGAAGAAGCTGACTTTATTGTTCATGAAGCTCAACAAGAATCAATGGGCTCCTTTTGTGCTTAGAATACACATTCCTTCCCTACCCTCCCTCCCTCCCATAAATTCCAAGCCAACCAACCAACCAATCAACAAGCATCCCTTTTTCACCAACCCTGTCACTTTCTGAGAATAAAGGAAATAAAAAGAAAAACATGTTCCAACTAAACACTCAAGAAATATAACCCATTATTTTATTCTGTCCACCAGCAGCCACCCATCCGACCATCTTCTTCCTCCATATCACCATTTCACAAAACTGATTCAAATTGAGTAGCACAACGAACTCATATGCTAATACATAAGATTTAGCTTCAACATTGAACAAAATTCACCCTTACTCAGCTGAATGGACTTAACTGCCTTCTCTGCCCTACCAGCCTCTCCACAACCTTCTCTGTAACTCACAAAGAAACAGGTAAGAAGTAGTCTTCCATTAACAGACTGAAGCCATCAACAGGAAGCAAGGAAGAAAGTAACTGTCAAAATATACTGTAATTTGTGGTATATGATGAACATATAAACCTATCGAAATCACATGATTTATGGTTGAGATTCAAAAGAAAAACAAAAAGAAAATTGGAAAAGAAACAGAATGAAAACAAAAAAAAAAAAAGTGAAAGATTATAGATTGACCCCTCCACTCCATGAATTATAGCATTAGCACCTTCTTCTGTGTACAATCTAACCTCCTCTGCTCTCTTCTTCTATACAGGAATTGCATACGGCAAAACATTAAACATCTTCTTCAGCCAACTCCACAGATTCCCTCAGATTCTTTAGAAGTTAATCTCTCATACTAATCTTCATGATCAATCCCCAAGCATGGTTAAATCTCTCTTTACTAAAGGAATCTAGAGCTGAGAGAACAGTAGTGGAAATGTAATCATCAGAAGTCCACATATCTATGTAGATCATGTAGATCATGTACTGTTGAATCCTTCCTCTGACAATTGCAAACACTCCTCTGGGTTAGAATAGAAATAATCTTCTTCTTTAGGCCTATCTGGAATGACCAATCTCTTGGTAGGATTCCCCCACCGACCTGCATGAGCTTCTTTCACTGCCGACGAGAATTCATCCCAGTTAAGAATTCCTCTGTCGAACTGATCTATCAGATCTACAAGTAGCCTTCTGTCCAATAAGATCGTCTTCTTAAACCCGAGATACCTACAAAAGACGAATGATTAAACAAATAGTTAGTTCATACCCACTGCTAGCATATATTGTCCTCTTTGGGCTATGTTGGTGGGATCTCACATTAACAATCTAGTTAATAAATGAATCTCTGGTGTCAACCCGTACCTGCGATGACCTTCGACAACTTTAGCCATGTTTCCATCATAGGTAGGAACAAATATATCACTTTCCAAGGAAACAAGATAATCCAATGCTGCCATCTGAGATGAATGATTCTGGAAAAACCCAAGTTCTGAAGGTTCCAACAAAGTCTCCTTTCTTACCTGTTTCAACAGTCCAAAGATCTTAAAGACATGGCAATCAAATACCAGAGCTAAAGAAATTGATATCCACATCTACTAACCAATTTTGGAAAAGCCTTTGCAAGAGCAGCCATTCTCCGGTCGCCACCGTATATTTCGCCAGCAGCAATATAAATCTGGATATTGGGATCAATATCCAGTGCCCTCAGTGTAAGTGCAGTTTCCTCAGGTGTTAATGGACACAAACCATCTTTCCTTTTCAACTCAGAGTTTATTATTTTTTCTTTCCACCAGGGATAAGCATATCTACCAACACAACAATGAGTTCCCATGAGTGAGATTAAATTAACACTTACCCAAATGTCACAATTGGTCACCTTTCTCAGTGGAAGACTAACCTCATTCTTGTCAACTCTTCAACCTCTTCATCATTGCAGCCTTGGGTGCACCCAGAAAATGCTAACATGTCCATTTCATATCTGAGATGAAGAACAAGAAAAGGACCATTCTGGCGTAGGAGCTTTATAACTTTTCTTCCCAACTCCTCAATCTGGGAAGTGAACCTCAGAGCACTAAAGTTTACCCGACAGCGTAGTTTCTGAATCTCCATAGGCTGACCGTTGTTGGCAAGTCGAGCATCGGTTCTATTTAGATGCACAACTTTATATTTTTGAATCAGAGGAAGAACCTATAATGAGAGGATATAAACACTACCTCAAAACTAATTCCAAGCAGTAAAAAGGCCATGTTCTATTAGAATACAGAGCTACACAGATTACTTAAGATGACCCAATTGAAACTTGAAGCTTAGGGTATGTACGTCAAATATCAGGAGCAAACGGGCGGGGATTAGGCGGGGGGCGAGCGAGAGAAAACTGACCTGATTACGGTAGTAAGATATATCAGACCAACTTATTGGTGGCATGGAATAAATCCTTCCCTGTTCCACTCTCTTCTTGAGCCTGGGAGGCAACTCCTTCAATATGCGCACTTCATCTCTCAATGATGCAATAAAATGATCCACATCAAATATGTCCTGGAATTCACTGCAACATCATCGAAAGATATCGAAATTAAGGTTCCAGCTAGAGAAGAAATGGAAACTTAGCATAGCAGAATCCATTAACAAACCTGGGATCAGCCCAAAAGGAAGTCTTATCCAGTTCAGGTACAATAAGTGTTACATTCAAATATCTTGCTATTGTAACCATATCGCAAATCTGTGCAGCATAGAACAGGGAGGACAACTTAGAAAACAACAAAAAGAAACAAACAGTGTCCCTAAAATGTGGTTCCCACTCACCGCAGCTCTCATTTGATTGAGTCCTCCATTGCAGGAAACCATCAAATAACCATTGTTCTTATAGACCCCTACATGAACAGAAACAAGAACAGAATGAAGAGAGCACATGAAACCACAAAGTGTCCTAAAACATAGGAGACAAGATGATCATAATCCACCACAGAAGAACACCTACTCTTAGGAGGAAGAACTATTTTGGGGGGAAGTGGAACAGGCTTATTGGGGATACCAAACGCATCAACCGATGCAGATTCCTGAGAGAAACAAGAAGGCCAACCCTTCAAAACCCTTGGCCCCCACGTCTCCCCCAAGGCCGTCAACTGCACGATGCAAGTCCAAAGCAAAACAGAGGTCATTGCGCGGATCATCCATAGCTTCATCTTCGACCTCCCCGACGACACCATTGAACTCTTCAACCCCATCACCATCCACCTCTTCAACGTGCACTCACAATTCCTCTCGATCTCCCCCGCTGCATCTTACACTAAAAAGGACAACTACGGTTTGCCCTCCTGATCCGAGATCCACGTCAAGGACGTCGTCGTTTCAATTCCCCCTGAATTGGGTCAATGCCGTATGAGAAAATCCAACGCCCAAAAGCAAAAGTATCCAACAGAAGTCCCTGATTGAATCCCAAAGTCCCAATCTAAATGCATCTAATACAATAATCCACCAATCTAATCCACTTAAAAACACCCCAATTGGAAGAAAAAACAAGAAAAGCGAAATCTAGACTTCAAAACTCTTCACACATTACCATAAAAGAAATCCACTCTCCAAAGACTACGCCGCATCTCAAACTCAATCAACACCTATTTCAATCCCCTAAATGAGATCCTCCCAATTGGGTACCCAAATTCAAACCCCCAAATGGGATTGGTTTCTCCGCCTCCAAAAATGTCGCCTCCCTATGCTCCTCCACTCTCCGCCGGCAACCTACGACAGCGCAACCGCAAAAAAACAGACATATAAAAAGGGAGAGAGAGAGAGAGAGAGAAATGAGAGAGATGATGAGTTTGATAAGCCAAGGGTCGTGGCCTAGTGTATACGCACTCCAAACACACACACACTGAGAGAGAGAGAGAGAGAGAGAGAGAGAGAGAGAGAGAGAGGGAGAGATGCCGTACACCGCAAAGAAATTAAGCCGCGGGTGACGGTGGAGTTGGGTTGGGGCTCACTGCTCACCCATGGTTAAAGGAACAGACCAATAAATGCAGGCCAGCTAAACATCAAGAAAACAGGGCCCACTGTCATCAAAAAGCCTTACATGACGTGTTCAATATCAGACAGGTCTACTATCCACGTGGCAGAATCCTATGGCTGGTTACATTTGCTTGCATTTAATCTGCTGTCGATTCGCCGACAATATATCGCGATATTTTACAAATATTCCGCTGATAATTCATTTTTTTTATTTACATTTTGTGAATTTCTAAGGTTACTTTTTTTTTTCTTTTTTTAGTCTGAATTTTTAAAAATATAATCAATTTCCTCATCTCATCTAAGTTATTAAAAATAATCACTTTGCTTCAAATCTAAGTTTTATAGTTCTTTTTTAACGTAATAAAACGTTGCCCATGCCTCATTATTATTATTAACAAAAGCATTCTTCGAGTAATCAATGTTTCTTTATTCAAAAAAATAGTAATCAAATATGATTTCATTTTAAATAACTTATTCAACTTATTAAATGCTCTGTCTTGAAAAAAAATGCATATTTGAATAAAACCTATTAATTTTATTAAATATTTAATAAATTCTTAAATTTGAAATGTTCTCGTAATATTAAAAATAAAAATAAAAATTAAAGGTGTTAATTTTTATTGGACATATTTAATATTTTTATATAAATTAACCAATTGAATTTTGTGTTTATTAAGTTATTAAACTTTTAATTTGATGGTGAATTTTCTAATTTTAAAATGTATTAAATAAATTAATATATTTTTTAGAAATAATTTAAATTTTAAAAATCAATAATCTTAGGTAGAACAAAAAGTTCTTTAAATGCATAATTGATCGTGTAATTTAATATTATAATATTATATCTATATATTAAGTAAAATTTTTATTTTAATAAAAATGAAACTATTTTGCATCAAAAAATAGTATAATCAAATATTTAATTATTTAATCTAAGCATTCTTAGTTTTAAAATTTAAGAAAAATAATTAAAAAAAAAGATTTAGACATAGAATTTAAAATATTGGGAGAAAAGAAATTAAATCCATCAAATTGACTGAATTAATTTGATTAAATAAATGTTAAAAAAATAAATTCCTCACGTTGAGTAACTTAATTTCATTATGTAAATTAAAGAAAAAAAAACAAATCCATCATATTCACTAAATTAATAACACACCAAATGGACATTTTGAGAAATTAATAAAAAATAAAATCCTTAAAAAAAAAGAGAGAGAAATCTAAAAATAATAATAATCCAACAAGGATAAAAATGAATCCCATCGAATTTTCCGAATAATATGGTAAAAAGAGAGATTGACCGACGATATTTTGGCGATACATTGTTTTGATTGCGTGGAATGACAGCTGGCTTTCTTTTTTAAAAAACTTACACCGTTAACCTCCGTTAAAGTGTCGGTTGCGACGTCTTGACGGAGCTGGAACGACGACAGGGCCACAATCGCAACGGTCTTTTTTTTATTCACCTTTTCCATACTTTCTATGCCGTGTGATGAAGCTGTGTGGCCAGGTGTCAGAATCCTGTCAGTTTTGGCGGGGCCCATAGTGCCACGTTGAAAGAGATGTCCTACATGGACAGACGCAATTGGGTACCACACTCATAGATTCGCGTGAGCCATCGAAAATAGGTGTCCCAACCGCAGTGGGCCCCAGCGCCACGTTGTGGCTAGGGATTGGCTAAGCCTCGGATGTTTTTTCCTTTATCTTGCAAATTTCATTAATTTTCAATCTAAAATTTTAATTTCATTATTAGATAAATATTACAACTTTTATTCTCTCTTATAATTTTTAACAAAAATAATAATGTGTAAACTCTAAGTACTCATTAATTTAATAAAAAAAAAAAACTTTACCATAAATAAATAATAATAATAATTATTATTATTATTATTAACTAATAGAAACAAAGACAGTTTATGTAAAAAAAAGATTTTAGACTATATAAATGTATATTTATGTATGTATCTTATTTATTAAATTATATATTTATAAATATTTTATTTAGTGACGTATAACACAAACTTATTGTTATATATATATATATATATAAATAAAAAAGAAAAATGATGTACGCTAATAAATGGGAAAAAAACAATGGTAAGACTTTGATTTTTTCAAATGAAATATAATATTAGAGAAGACTTTTTTTATTTTAATAAATATGATTTTCATTTTTATAATTTATATAATTAATTATTGGCTTTTAAAAAATTAACTCCCCTAGAATGATGAAGACTTTATTGTTTTTTTTCTTTTTTAAATAAATCTATGGGAATAATTAAATTAAATCTTTACTTTAATTATTTCAAAGAAAATTATGGCCATTCCCATATTAAGAGAAATAATTAAGAGAATAACATTCTCAACAAGGAGTTCAATTAAATCATTTTTAATTATTTATTAAAAAGGGAATTTTCTCATGTTTTGAATATTTAATATTTTGTTATAAAATTATTCAGTCAAGAAAATTATAGTTTATGATTTTGATAGGCATATAATTAATTTATTGCACACATCACCCAATTTTAAAAACCATTTTAGGAGTGAATTTTATATATTTTTTATAGAACCAAAATCATTAATTAAATTACTTCGGTTTCAAAATTATTGTCTTATTTTTTATAAGAGATTCTTTTTTTAAAAATTAAAAAAAATATATAATATTTTTCATAATAAAGTCGTCTTTGTTTTTAAATTGTAAATTTACTAATACAGTCCATATTTAAAAAAATAAAATGAAGGTTAAAATTATATATTTAAATTCATTTTTTTAGGGTTAATTCATTTTGTATCCAACCAATATTCCATTAAAAAAATACTTATTTTATAAATAAAAAAAGGAATTTTTTTTGGCATGTGCTGTATTATGCCCGTATTTAAATATTAGGATTATGATATTTATAAATCTGGTACGAAGTTTATTTAATCTGTCACATAATTCATATAATATAAAGTTGGAAAAAAATAATTAGTGGTGTTAATGTCATTATGTGAATAATTAGCAATCATTTACATAAAATAATAAACCATGAGGGGTTGACATTTTCTACTATACCCACCATTAGTTTTATACCCACCCTTAGTTTCATGCCGGCGTTGACTAACAAATCTAAAATGGTGGCTTGAATGAAAATATCTTTTTAATTTTTTGTGAGAATATAATTCAAAGAAAATATTGAATAAATGGTAGAAATGAGTTTCAACGATGCTACTTTAGTCGGTTTCATCGTCCAATTATTTTACCTATTTGTTATATATTACGCTATTTTAAATCAATAAGTGGTTTGTGACGACTAGGAGAATAACGGTGTCAACATAGGGCTACCCTTCCCCATGTTTCATTAGTCATATCTTATGTTTTAAGACTGCCTGTCACAATACTCGATACATTATTATGTACCTTCCTTATATATGTAAGTACGTTTCTAATAAGTGTTTTGATTAAGAACACTTATCAACTAATTAGGTTTTACATTTGTTCACGTAATTATATCAGTACACTGGTGAACTAAAAGAAAAGAATCCTATGGTACTTACGAACAAATCGTTTAATTTGTTTAACATACTTCTAAGAAATAGTCTGAAAAGAGTTGTGCTAGTGGTTTCCACAGTCTTAGGGCATGTTCATTACATAGACCATGCCTGATAGATCAGCCTGTTTAATTAGAATATTGAAATCTGATGAGTACTCCATTTGCCAATATAATCATTAGTAATCCTTAGTGCACTTGAATATGTATTTGAGAAGAACTAGAGATGACATGATTAAAAATGAGGCACTATCCAAACATAATCGTGTTCGTGTACAGTCCAATTCATCGTCAATGTAAACATAAGTCAGCAGTAATCTATATATACTTTTTATTTAAATACCAGAGATCCAAATCCTCGAACAAAAAAAATAGGAATAAATAAATGAATCGAAACCGAGATCGAATCTGTCTAGACCTATCCGCCTAGAAATATTAATCAAATGTCAAGAGGGCTATAAGGAGGACAAAAATGATCATAGTTAAGAGTGCTCAGAGCTGTACAAAATGGAAAACAAGCAAGCCAAGATGCTCAGGCTTTGAAGTTTGGAGTATACAAGATTTTTGTACATAAAATAATACCTCCCTCAAAAGAATGACAATAAGATTACCATTTTTCTCCAGCACAGGTGCAGATGCAAGAGCTGCTCTAGTGGAGGGAGAAGACTTGGGTTTTATTGGATCATCATTTATCCCACTGAAACCCGCCACCAAGAACAGAACAGAGACAACTTCAATTCAAATGGATGAGAAGCAATGACGCAATATGTAACTCCTACAATTTGTCTTGCTCGCCATCCTGTAGGTTTAAGACAAATTTCATTACCAAATAGTAGGTGCGCAATAAAAAGAGAATATAATCAGATTTTGAATTCCAGCACCAGCAAAGTCCAATAGCACGTATATAGGATACCTTTTAAAGTGCTTATATATGACTATAAACATTTTAGTTTCGGAAAGTTTTACTAAAAAAAATTGACAATCAAAAAGTGGGGTGAGAAATGTTAATAGATAAAAAGCACTAGTAAAGGAAGTATTTAAATAGTGTTTCACTTAGAACACTAAAAGGCAATCTTAACAGAAACTAAAAAAAATTAGGGCTATGCACCAAAGAATTCAGGTATTGCTGGGATATGGTGCTAAAAAAAGAACGAATTGGGGTTGGTGGTGTTTTCAAGGAGCTTTTTGCATATGGTTGTCGTTGATTCTTGAAGAATATAACTATTTTTTCTAACACAGAACTTGTTTGGCATCTAGTGTAGTGACATGACCTGGGCTTATTTGACATCAGCCGACCCCCACAGCCAGGAACATAGAAGAGGACTTCAAATGGATGAAAACAATGAACCAATATGAGGAAAACAAGTATACAGTAGTCTACAATTTGTCGTTCTCATCATCCTATGGTTTAAGACAAAATTCAATACCAAACAATGGGTAACATCTTTCCAGATTTTATCTTCCAGCACTGGCAAATTCCAGTAAGGCATGAAACTAAAGGAATTATTTTTTTAGAAAAACTGTCTGGGCCAGTTTGTGTACCTCAACTATTCTCACGGAACCACCATCTAACCCTACCTCTACTAGACTTAGTTGTCAAAGTAACTCTATAATGTTATGTCCTAGATAGGCGGCTACCATGAGTTGAACTTATTCACTTTAAACCTTTCAAGGTTGTTTTAAGAAAACTGTTACTGGTTGTTTTGAACTGTTTCTTGCAATAGGAACTAAAACAAACCTTCTAAGAGTTCTTGGGAGCAATTGAAAATCTTTAATCGGTGGGGGGTGGGGAGGGGTTTGATCGGCGAACTCAGCAACATAATAACACAGAAATCATTAGACTTGAATGAAAATCTTGGGATGTCGAGTATCACAATTGCACTTGTCTGTCTTGCCCATGATTGCTTTCCCATTTCAAACCTTTTACATTGCTTTGAATGTATTTCATTCTAGTATAATTGTTTAAGTTCCTTGTAATGTTGTTAACGTATAACTCAACGCCACTTTTAATGTCTACACCTACAAAAGACAATTTGTCTCATAATATATTAGAGGGGATATAACTAGTTGTCAAATTTTCCTACTTGAGTTGCATGCCATCAATGTTTATATTGACATCTACTTCCTAAATAATGTTTTCCAAAACTTTCTGTAACCCCATATTCTAAAACCATTTCCAGAGTTGCATGCCATCAATGTTTATATTGACATCTACTTCCTAAATAATGTTTTCCAAAACTTTCTGTAACCCCATATTCTAAAACCATTTTCCAGTGATGGGATAGAGACTATGAGATAGTGCCACTGACGATCCAAGTTTGAGTTGGCTGACTTACTTAAGAGCGAGAGCAAGTATCGCACAATCGTTTCATAAGTCCTAAAACGGGTGCAGGCGGCAATGGGACAACTCGAAACCGTCGGCTTAGAGCAGAGAGAGTGCCGAGAAGGTGATTTAAGGGAGGGGACACTCAGGTTCGAGTGAAGAATTGTCGGAGAACTCAAGGAAAAAACCCCATAGTCGTCAGCAACTGTTCAAGCTCGAATTCGTAACCTTTCCTTAGGTGTTCAAGTGTGTTGGTTGGGAGGTTTTTCGCCAAGGGAGGTCGAGGAACGAAGGGTTGCAAGCATCATCGGAGGTAAGGGTTTTCATGGTTTTTCATAAACTTTTGAAGCTCATATCTCCCTCAAATCTCGACCAAATCACGCGATTTCTGGCTTGTTGAACTTAGGGAGAAGAGGACTACATATTCACATAAGGGGTCGAGATCAATCGACGTCAAATGAGTAGATCTAAGGTGTAACCTAGGAAGAGCCTATACCGGGGAATGAACCCCCCAAAGGAGAATAAGACACTGAACGAATGAACTAAGATCAATAAAACTTAAACGAACTAGAACTACCAACAAACTGCTAAATAAGTACATTTTATATACTCATTCCTACTACTTTAAAATTTTAAGATGAGGCATGAAGGAGCGGTCGAGACGGAGGCACACACGAGCTAGGGGCTATGAAGTTTTGGGCTAGATCGGTATCTTGTATCCCTTTAATATGTTTCTCTTACGAACCCTTGATCTTTGTATTTCAAGATTTTTACTAATTTCCTATGCCAAGTTTTTTTTTTCTGTGTGTCGTTGTGGTTTGTTAGTCTGTAAGGTATTTTTGAACGATGTTGTATTAAAGCTAGATTTTTTTTTATGTGCATGCACGTTTAGAAGTTTTAAATTAAATGCGTATTTTCAAATCTTCCACGTCAATAGGTAACGGTCCCCAGCTTGGATCCCTTGAAAAGCAGGTTGTTACATAAAACAAGACTACCATTTCATGAGTTATAAAAGGACACAATCAGGTCACGAGTCCCAAAGACGTGCAATTGTGGCACCAAACACAACATATTAGTCAAACGTGAAAATGGGGAAGGAAAGCAAATGATAGGTTCTACTTACCGAACTGTCAACCATCTTGTCAAAGTCATCATCAAAGTCCTCATCTCCATCATCTGAAAAACCAGGAAGAAGATCAGTGGCACCAACTTCAAATGACAAAATGAAATCAACAGTAATAATGGACAAGCAATTATATAAATAGACTGTGTATACGCAATGCTCATTGCCAATAATTGCAGCAAATAATGTTTAAAACCATGGAAGTGACAAATGGTGGGCACTCCGTCAAATCACTTGTTTTCAAGCAAAAGAATCACATGTCTAGAGTGTCTTCCTTTTAGACAAAGAAGTGAGCAAAATTGTGTTCTGCCTCGTAAAAAGGTTCAGTAGGACTCAAAAAGATATATGCCAATTGCGAATACAGCCCACTTGACAACAACAATTTGTCAAAGATCATGTATTATAGAGTTATCATCAACAATTTTGAATTCACAGTCAATAACTTCAAAGGAACAGATCTTTGTTAAGAGATTGTCTAGACGTGTGTTTTATTTTTCAGAAAACATCAATTCAGAGCAGAGATATCAATAAATTATGGCACCGTACCTGGACCTTCATCGCTGTCTCCAAGATCCCCAAGAAGAAATACATCCAAGTCTTGATCACTTGATGAGATAAGAGCATTTTTCTTCTCTTGACCACTTGATGAGGAGGTTGAAGCAATTTTCTTCTCCTGATCACTTGATGAGGAGGCTGGAGCAACTTTCTTCTCCTCCTGAGATGTAGATGTTATTTCAGTTTTAACAGGTTCCATCTTTCCATCTTCAGCCTGCTTAGCTGATTTCAGTACGGCATCCTCCATGTACTTTTTCTCATAGCTGGACAAGTAAGAGAACAAAGACCAAGAAAAATTTGACATTTTGTTAATGAAATTCTTGAAGAAAATTAAGGACTGAAGATCAGGACACGAAAGAAGAGTTGATAAATTGGTAAACATGTTCTTTTATGATCAACTGAGTCATTACAGAATTCAGTGAAGGAAAGAAATCGGGAAAAATAAAAAATAAGTTGTCTAAGAAATATTTCATAGAAACACTCATGTAGAATGATTTTCAGCAGTTGTGTTCAGTAAAATATTACACAAAATTCGGATGATCATTTGGTATTTTCTTTATAAGAAATAATGTCTCAGCGCAAGCCATTCTCTGAGTTTGCTTCCTTGGCCCACTAGCAACAGGTAACTTATTAAATGCACTTTAGCCTTGTTAAAGTATTCGCCTTCTTTTTTAAATGCACTAGTCGCTTGGGATTTTGGGCCTCTATTGTCCAATCTAGAAAAAGAAGTAACTATTTGCACTCAAAATTCAAAGTTTTCGGTCTTCAATCCAATAACTTTTGTTCTTAAGGTCTTAACACACACACAGCTTTTTTTTGCGTTTCCCACTCTTAGTTATGCCTTATTACAGTTCACAAGCAATACAAATCTAGACGCTCTGATGATTTAGCAATCAAAATTCAAAGTTCAAAGCCAGAGTGAAGGCTCGAACGAGCCCCAAAACTTAAAACTTACGGTGCTATGTGCCTGTTCACCAACATAAAGTAAATCCTCCAGAATTTTCTCTCTTTCATAATTCGTGGACACAATTCATAACGTAACTTAGAAATTTCCTGCCACACATGAAATCAAAATGAAGGTTAAAAGCACATACATCGTAATAATGCATGTTTTCATGGAAGTACGGAAAATATAAATTCATTTCCTCAAGCCCATCTTCATGGCATGCACAATAGAATGCCAAAATACAATGAACTGAAAAAATCTACGTTCATCTTGAAGGTTGCCAAGTTTATTAATAATAGTACCTCGACAGTTGAAAGAACAAGACTTGCATGCTTCGCCTGCCACTCAGTTAGATCCTGACTAATATTTGAGACTGTGGGGACACTGGACATTTGTGAATCATCTACGCAAAGGGAAATGAACAAGTTTTAAAAATAAAATATTGGTGGGAGAGAAACAAATAAACATGTAATATTTATCACCGTTGAAAAGATGCTAACATCTCAAGAGATTTATTGGCTTTAAAGGTTAAGATTAAACAGTGCAAAGGGTTCTTTTATTAGGTGCATATAATTTCAGAAACAAGAGATTTTAATGGGTTTGGAGTTGCCAAGATCTGAGGGAAGGATATCAAATTTCTCTAGCTAAATTTCTTCAAGCCCAACCTCAAATGGTCATGTAAGTGGACAAATAGGAATTTAATTTGTTTCACACTTCAAAGCATATTGGCCTAAATAAGGCTCTAGACTTCACTAATGGACCGTTTTCCCGCTCTATTCAAATGGAATGGTCATTCCCTCGTTGTCCTCAAATAATTGCAATGGTACTGAGCTAAAGCTCCAAATTAAACCTGTTAAATACGCTTCAACTTATTACACTGCAGATATTCCAGAGCATGGCACCGGCATTTAATTCTGATATTGGGGAATGAATGATTGGGGATGGTTTCTGCCAATTAAGGTAGTTCTTCAAATTCAATGTCCCCCTCTATATTGAGATTCAACCTTCGCTAATTCGTCAGCTCAGTTAAGCTTAATAGTCCTCACTTTTAAAGCTTAAGTTCTTGATAATTCCGGTCTACATTTATTTTTTCTCCCCCTGTTTATCGCCATTCCGTCCCACCGTTCCTTAATCTTTCAAGCAACCAGCCAAAATGACAGAATTCAAGAAAATGAATCAATTACCTTCGAGTGGAAAATCTCGAAATGTACTCATAGTGATCCCTTTGACGAAGTCCCTCAGCTCTTCGTTTATTCCAAACCTCTGCAAATCCTCCTCCCGCGTCTCTTCATCATAAGCGTTCTCCTCGAGCGCGCCAGACGGCGGAGACCCTTCGACCAAGTGCTTGATAAGATCAGCTCGTTTAACAGCTTCCGCTTTAATTTGTTCAGCTCGCTTGGAGGCTTCGTTAGCAAATTCCTTGGAGCGTTTAGCAGTCTCGGAAACGATATCGGACAGTCTAGAGGATCCGATCGTGAGCTCTTGGGAACGCCTTGCAGCTTCCAGAGTCAGCTCCTGTGAGCGCTTCGCTGTTTCCTCAGCAAAACTTCGAGCTTTGTTCCAAAAATCCATGGCGGAACCTGAACGTTGAATCTCACTACGCGCGCTCTCTGCTTCTTAGTTTCCGTCGCGCGTCGACGGGATGTGAGAATAGAGGAGAAGATGGACAAAATCCGGTGAGGGAAGCCCGCACGTTTTCACGCTGGTCTGCATTCTCCTTGCTCCACGTGTGATCGACGAATGGGCAAATCCAGTATTTTTTAAGTTTAATTTTAAAAATATATATAAATTAAATCCAATATAATTATATATATATATATATATATATATATATATATATATATATATTAAATCTACATTTTTTAAAAAAAATATTTCTATAGTTGAAATAAATTAAATTCCGTCCCTAATAATTTTAAATTTTATAATTTACGTATATTCTATGATCTACCCTTCTAGAAATTTGTGATTAATGATTAACCATTAAATTTAGAGTTTGCAGCTGAACTACTGTACAGTGTTTTGACAGTGACAACTGTCCTATCAAATGGGTGGCACCAAAGAACGTTACACTGAGCTAAAACCATTCATGGTAGTTGATATTGAAAACTCTACTAAATAATAACACTCACATGTCATATGTCTCTCTGTAATTACCGAAACAAAGAAAAGGAAAATAAATTTATGTTTTATTTTGTCCGTGGAACATTCTAAATTTCTTTATTATAATAATTATTTGAAACGTACGTAAAAAAATGTGAAAAATAATATTATGAGTTAGATGATATTTTTAAAATAAGTTTATGGGTTTTTTTTTTTTTTTTTTTTTTTTGTAAAAAAAAAAAATTGTTCCTCGTTCTTATCCATTGGGAGCTTCACGAAGCTTCCACGACAATCCCCTTCTTCTTCGTCTTTCCATTCCCACAGTTTCCTTTCCAATTCGAAAACCATCATCTACGAACCGTATCATCTATCCATTCACAGTGCAGGACGCCAATTTTCATCCACGCGGCACCATAAAAGCCACCAACTCAACCAGCTCTCCTGTACACCACAATCTACCCAATTCATTCCCTTTGACCAAATTGAAAGTTTTCGATTTCAAGTGTCTTCGTCAATCTTTTCCCCTTTTCCAAATCTCGAATCCGTCTTATAAACCAGTGGGAAGAACAAAAGTAGCGAAATCCACATCTTAATTGGAAGTTTTTCCTTTTTTTCTCATTGATTTCTCACTTTTTTTGCTTGCATTTGGATCGAATGCGTACAAGTTGCCGCACAGCGACAGTTTTCAACCAGTTTTTCTATTGGTGGATAGAAATCCAGGATCCTCGCTGTTGGTTTTGAAGAAACAGTCAAATTTTCACTTTGTGGTCGAAGTTCTTGGCTATTCGAGGTTCGATTCTTCCTTTCTTTCCCTCTAGATTATATCTCTTTATGCGAGTTTCGTTTCTCATCGGATTGCGATTTTACTGTCAATGTTTCGTCTGATTCTGTTTCTTGGTGTAAACTACTCATTTCGCGACGCTGAGATTTCGTTTTTTTTGTGTTTCTTTTGCGTATTGCTTGATATATCTAAAGCTAATGTAGTGTGAATTGAATTGGAGCTGAGATTCAATTTCTATTGCTTTTTGAATTAGGGTTCTTGTGTTCTCTGGTTTCTGGAATCATGTTGGTTATGAATGTGATGAACTCGAAGAGACAAAGGCGTCCAAATGTTAGGCTTGGGGAAATTGGGGACATATCTGCAGCTTGGGCCTGTGGGTTTTCTCATAGCAATAGGGGAAAGTTAGTTCATAAGGAGTGGAAGAATGATTTGGACCAAACTATGGGTTATGAAGATCATAACCCCACTGTTTTTGGAGATTTGAATCCATTATCTCCCAAGCTCACAATCTCTCCACAAACTTCAACAGAGTTGCAGCACAATGAAGAGGACACCAATAACCCCAAATCTTCTGAATTGGTTTTGGAATGTCCCATGAAGTTTAGTGATGTGACTAGGAAGTGTAGAGATATGAAGCGTCGGGGGCGTAGCAACAACAGCTACGCCATTCTCGGTGGCAGTTGGAGCTCGAAACATAGCTCCGATGACTTCTCGATGGATGAGAAGGAATGTGAGGGGACAGGTAATTCTGCTAATGGTTTTGGTGACTCCTCTGATCATCAAACACCAACGACTAGCAAAGAGTACGGTATCGACCAACCATCGATGCATCGAGAGCTTAAGTCAAACAACAATGCGCAATTTACCGGTGAGAAAGCTCGGGCGCAAGAAAGAATGAGATTAGAAGATGAGAATACAAATGCTGTTAGTAGATGGTTAGAAGAGGTTGGATTTGGGAAGTATGCTGGTGTGTTCGAGATGCACGAGGTAGACGAGGAGGCTTTGCCGTTGCTGACCATTGAAGATCTCAAAGAGATCGGCGTATTGTCTGTCGGGTCTCGAAGGAAACTGTACAATGCAATCCAACAGTTAAGAGGAGGAGAGGAAGAAGGTGTTTGAAAGCTTAGAAAGCTAAATGTGCATAGAAAAAGATGTACATATACCTCCTAACATCTTTTGTGTTGATTACGTTACATGCGTGAATGCTAGAACTTCCTCTAGGCTGTAATATTGTCTTTTTTTTTTTTTTTTTTAATTTTTTCTTTTGGGCTTTTCTCAAGGTTTTTAAAATGCATTTACATTTACAGTGAGAGGTTTCCACACCATCGACCAGCGTGGGATCTCAGAGTTCTAACATGTTAAGTTAGTTTGAACATTTTAACCAGTTTGGGATATTCGTGAGTGTTTAGGTTAGTTTATACGTGCCTTGACTAATCCCACGAGATGAACAATTCAAATGGATGAATAATATAGCTATAAAGTTATGTAATTGAAAGGGTTCAAATTTAGGAATAATATAGTAAATATTTAGTTTCACAATATTAAATATAGTAGAAAGAAATTGTAAAAGTTCCACACAGAAGAAAGCGCAGCAGAGTCCCACATCGGAAGAGTGTGGAAGAAAGCGTAGCAGTGGAACTATAAAACAGAAGGAAGTAGTTCCTGTGCACCATACTTACCTGGACGGGGTCAATGGGCGATCAGGAAGGCCCATGTCTTAGGTTGGTGACCTCCATTGCACGTAGGAGGGGCGCCAGCCTAAGATCTGCCCAAGAGGCAGAGCCTACGTCATAATTTGTGGTGGTGGGGGCCTGCGTTCGCGCGGCCCCTGCCTAATTATTCTCGCGGCCCAAAAGGGTGTCTCTTCATTCATTTAATAAATTTTTCTAATTTCAAAAAATGAAATTTTAATTATTCAAATAAGAAGAAAAAAAAATTTGGTAATTGAAATTGAGATGCAAGGAAGATTTAAATAAATGAAAGAGACCCACATAATTATAAATGTAATAAAATGGAGAAGCGGAAAATGGATAAATATTTGGGTTAATATCTAAAACAGAAAAATATCTAAAATTATTATTCAAATTTGGATTAAATTCAATGCAAGCTGACCCGACGGCGACGTTTTGATTGCCGTCCAAATGACGCACCTGCCGTCCTTTCCACTCCTACATCTTCAATTCCCTATTAATTGTTCTTTTGACCTCCGGTTTAAATTTGTCTAATTTATTCCCCTTTTAAACTAAAATTACTAATATGTAAATTTATTATTTTGGGTTTGAGTTTAAGAGATGAATCTATATTTTACTTAAATAATTATAATAATTTTCAGGAAACAAAATATACCATTTAAACACATTTTTAAAATTTATAAAAGAAAACAACAAAACTTTTATTAATAATGGGTTATTATCATGTACTTTTACAAACCCACTTTTGGGCAAAATTACTTGAAGAAGGCTTGGCATAGTTTGAAAGACGTTGACCCATGAAATGTTGGAAAATACAAAATAATAATTAATTTTCTTCTAACAATAATAATAATATATTTATAGGAATATTGGGGTGGGCCCCAGAAATCACATGATAAGTGGGCCCAATTAGACTGAAATGTCAATGTCCCCATTCCAACCGACTGGGCCTGAGAGGGGGCTGAGCCCATAGTTGGTGGTGGCTTAGGACAGCGACGCCCATTACAACTCCACAACACAACCAATCCTCTCCCTTCCAAACCCATATCTTTTTCCCAATCTTCTTGATTGTGATATCTCCCACATTTTCCTTCTCTTTTTTTTTTTTTAATAAATAAATAAATATTACGTCACCGGCCTATGACCCGTAAGACAAAGCGCATGCACCCAACTACTCGAGCCATATTCTAGAAGACAGCGAATTTCTCGTCCTTGTACATTTCGTCATGACCTAGAGTTCTTGGTGCGCTTCCATGACTCGTGAAATTGAACTTAATCTCGTAGCATTGTTTTCAACTTCTTAATATAAATTGTTTTGGCCCGTTACATATCGCCATCAGTCTCATAATTTTAAAACACGAGATTTCCACACCTTTATAAGAAATAGAGATCTCATATTTGTAGTAATCCAAACTCACTGTTAGCAGATATTGTACACTTTAGCCCATTACCTATTGTTGTCCGACTTCCGATTTCAAAACGAGTCTTCTAAGAAGAGGTTTCCATAATCCTGTAAGAAATGCTTCATTTCTCGTTGCTCTCCCCAACCAATGTGGGATTTCACATGCGTAGCAACCCATATTGTTTACTTGAGACCATTACATATAATCGTCAGGCTCACAGTTTTAAAACGCATATTCTAGGGAGAGGTTTCCACACCCTTGTAGAAATGTTTCGTGAAATCTCACACCTGTACTAGCCCAAGCACACCACTAGCACATATTGTCTGCTTTAGCCCATGTGCTCATGATTTTAAAATATTTTTTTAGAGAGAGGTCTCCACACTCTCAAACAATATTTCGTTTCACTCTCCAACCGACCTTGGATCTCACAGTAACACTCAACTTTATAATAACATTTAAATATTCATAAAACCAAATAAAATAAAATAAAATATATTTTCTTTAACACAAAATTATAAAACAAATTCTTAGGAAGAGAGAGAATTAGGGTTAGAAATTTGTAGAGAGAGAAAAGAGAGCATAAACCTAATATTGGACCCCATCTCCATGTGAACAATTTCTATGTCATTTCCTTTCAATTCCCTCTTTCTTTTCTTTTCACACTACCTATTCCCGAACGCCAAAATACTATTTTAGTCTCTATATTTCTGAACTCGTAATATTTTAGCTTATTTATTTTTAAATACAAAATTATAAATAAATTTAGTTTACTTACTATTCATTATTTCAAAAAATAATTTAATTTTAGTCGTCGTAATTATTAATTTATGGAGTTGTGTTTAGAGTTAGTCTAATTGTAATTAATTAGTTAGAATGGAATGTAATGATGTTGGTGATTAGCATTTAATTAACTCAACGGATTATCCATGCAATTCTTAATTATATGGAACCATGTTTTAAAATTATCGCAATATTAGTTAATAATTAATATAAATTATGAATTTTGTAGAATTTTTATAGGGAAAATAATTTGGAAATCAGTTGGAGAATATAAATTATAGGCACACGTGGGGCAACGTCAGCAGTATATCCTGATGATAAAGACCTCCCAGAATGGATTTTTCTAATGTCACCGTCACCCACCAGGACAGCCCCACCCGGACGGTTGGATTTTACCCTCTCTTCCGATTTATGTTTTGGCTGTGAATCACAGCCCTGTTTTTTCACCTTCACTGTCCTAATTTTTTTTTTTTAATGTGAACCTAATTAAAAACTATCCACATATATAATTCATTACCAGTAATATATATCGGAAATAACGACACAATTTATATATATATATCGGAAATAACGACACAATTTATAAAATTCTCCTTGGTTGGAGAGAGAAACGAAACATTTCTTATAAGTACGTGGAAACTTCTCCCGTTTTAAAACTGCGAGGTTAACACCGATACATAACGGGCTAAAGTAGACCATATTTACTGATGGTAGATTTGGGTGGTTACTAATAGTATCATAGTCAAATATTGGAAGGTGTGTCAGCGAGGACGCTGGCCCCAATGGGATGGATTGTGAGATTGACTATGAAGGGGAACGAAACATTCTTTCCTCTCCCTAAAAGACAGCGTTTTAAAAATGCGAGGCTGATGATGATATATAAGAAGCCAAAGGGGACAAGATTTAAAATTACACAATTTCACAATCATACGATTGAAATGCTACATGAAAACATGAACCAGATGAAGGAACCTATCACTTCAAGAGCGTTTTCGATATCTAGAAGCTAGCTCTCTGCTCTTCGGTTGGACAGTAAACGTCGGAGAAATACATTTTTTAATTGGGTATAATAAAACAAATTAATTTATTTAAAATTATAAATTTAAAAAAAAAAAAAAAAAAAAACATAGGGCCATAAGGTTGAAGACATTTTGGTGTGAGGGAAGGAGGAATGAAAGACATATTTTCTGCGTGCAGGTGCAGTGGGCCCAGTGGGCCCCACTCCTCTTGCCCTCCATTGAATTTAATTTATAAAAATTTTATAACTTTAAATTGGTAAATAATGAATTTTAATTTAAGGTTAAAAAAATATATTCGAAGCAATTCTGAAATCAAATTAAAAAAAAATAAAATAATTCTATTTAAATTAAAATTAATACGACGTCGTAATAAAATATTTATTTAAAGCTTAAAAAAAAGGTCACTGTGAAGGCTAAATTTATCCAAGTGGAGAAATGATGAATGTGAAGTGTAGTTTAATAATTACATTTATTGTCCAAAATGAAGAGTGGATTCCATTATGGATCATTTTAAAAAATAAAATAAAATAACCAAAGCATCTAGCTAGGTTCCAATTACCTGTAGAGCACTAGGGTTTATGTCACCTCCAATCAAAATTAAACACATTTTTCTTATTATTTTATCTCATCGTCTTACACCAAACTTTATGTGCACTTTGTTGGTATATACAACCGGTATGAATTATTTTAAACATTTTTTAAACTAAATTTTATATTCTCGGTATCAATATTGGTTTATTCATGTATATTTTATTATTTGAGCATTATAATATATACAACGAAAAAAATTATTTAAATTATTTTATAAAAAATAAGAAATGAAATTATTTAAGAATATGGTGCGATTTGATGCAGAACACATGGAAAGTTATTATGGAGATTTAAGGATTTGTGAATCATATAATAAGAAGGATAAAATAATGATGAATTTGGTGGATAATTATAATTTTAGTAGTTAGGCTAAAAGGCATTTCACAGAATGGTGGGCGCATTAATTACATATATTTAACTTCCAGGGAGGAAGGTGACGGATCGTGGGTGCACTAATCACTTCATTAATTGGCTTCATTAAATTAATTATCCTAATCTAGGTACGTTCTTATTGACCGTACTTTGTATTAGAATGATATTTAGTCACACGTATTAATATTTAAATTAAAAAACGTGAAATATTGGTCTAAGCCCACAACTAGCATTCTTTAGGGCACACGACAGTGACTGGTTCTGATACTATGTGTAGTAGTCAAGGGTCACAAGATATCGTCCACTTTGTGATTCCTCTCAAAGTTTAAAAACCGGAGAGATTTCTACACTCTTGCATCGATAAATTTCAAAACTTTTTATAACCTGCCCGAGTGTTCAAAACTAGTTTGGTTGTCTTTGATCAGTCCAAATGACAGTGCTAGTTACCCTACCTTCGATTCTACGTTCGAACTCATCAATAAATAGACGTGGGAGAAACACCACCGTCACTTATTTTACGAAGCAATATATGAAAATTCAATCGTGCATCCAACATCAATCAATCGAATGTATAAAGTAACTATCAAAATCAAATGAGATTCGAAGAGACATAGGAATCATCGCTAGCCGTTTGCTCGGGACTTTGTTTAAGAAATCTATAAACGCTACGATGTGGAGAAGCAGTCTAGTTTTATGCATACTAAAAAATATTTAATGATGTTATGATGTATGGAATGTTGATTACTATTGATGCTGATGATACCGATAAGGTTCCGCTCGCACAATAATACTGTACACACGGAATTACACAAGCATTTTATAATCACCCAATCAGTAGCTGAAACGTGGCAATGCCTGATCCATTTAAGCTCAAGCCTTGCAGATAAATTAGTATGGCCGACAAGTCGACAAGCAGATTGTGTGGTCGAAAAGGACCTACTGCTGTCGTCCGTCCACGTGTCGGTCATCCACCACATCAACTCTCCCCGACCGTACGGTCCTCCCTTATTCAACTTGGCCTCTGGGTTTTCCCCATTTTACCCCTGAAATGCCTCAAATTTACTAAAAAAACATTAGACATTTGAAGCTGCGCAGGGGATATTTGTCAGTGTTTAGAAGCTGAAATTCAGAGACTCAGCTCCGTTATATCACACACTTCCCCAAATTTCTTTATCATCATAAGCCCATCAAACACTCCCACCCAAAAAAAAAAAAAAAAAAAAAAAAAAAAAAGAAAAAAAAATAATTTTCTTTTCTCCTCTGCCCATCTTCAAGAAATTGCTTTCGTTTGGCTCTGGAAATGCAGGGCATACACTCGATTGGTGGCGGAAGCCGCTTGTTTGGCGGCGGAGGCGGTGGCGGCGGGGACCGTAGCCTGAGGCCCCACCTCCACCACCACCACCAGAACCACCAAGCCTTGAAGTGCCCAAGGTGTGATTCTCTCAATACAAAGTTCTGTTATTACAATAACTATAATCTCTCTCAGCCTCGTCACTTCTGCAAGAGCTGCCGCCGTTACTGGACCAAAGGCGGCGTCCTACGCAACGTTCCTGTCGGTGGTGGCTGTCGGAAAACCAAACGAGCTTCCAAGTCCAAGCCGACATCTGACACAACCGGGCCTCCACCTCCACTTCACGAACAGAAATCCACCTCTCATTCTAGCAGCGAGAGCTCTAGTCTCACCGCCGCAACAACAACCGCCGCCGCCGCAACCGAGGCTGTTTCCGCTCCATCTACGAGTTCCGCGTCGACTCTATTAAGCGTACAGGATTCGAAATTGTTCCCCAATCCTAGTATAAACACGAATTTCGAGATGGCGGCAGCTCCAGTTTCGGACTGCGGAATTTTCTCGGAAATCGGAAGCTTCACGAGCTTGATCACGTCGTCGAACGAGACATTGCCGTTCGGATTCGGCAACATCGCTGACGCGACGCCTTTCGCGATGAATCATCAGTTACAAAATCAATGGACGCCACAGAGAATGATGAACGTTAACGACGAACTAAAGATGCAGGAAATCACAGGCGGCGGCGGCGGGTACATGGATCAGACGGCCCACGTCGATCCATCAGGGCTGCAGAATAGCAGATCAAGTAACATTGGATTCGGACCGTTGGATTGGCAATCAAACGGAGATCATCAGGTTCTTTTTGATCTTCCCAACGCCGTTGATCAAGCATACTGGAGTCAAAATCAATGGAGTGATCCAGACCCCCCCAATCTGTACCTTCCGTAAATCGCTGCAGACCACGGTCAAGACTTTCTTAGCCCACCATTTCCTATTTTTTTCTAATTTCAAAATTTATTTATTTTCCTAATTTTAGTATAAAATTAAAGAAATATCTCTGTGGAAAAAAAAGGAAAAAATGGGAAAAATTATGCTTCCTTCTTTACTTCGTCTCTATGTAAATCAAATTCCCTATAGTTTATTAATTTTTTTTTATCGAAATTCGAATATTTATTATCGTTATTTTTTTTAAAAAAATTGCTGTTAAATAAGGTTAATTAATTAATTTTGAAATTAAGAAGACGACGGGTGACGTACGAAGTCGGTTGAAGGGAGGGGGAAGTTGGGCCCAGAGTCAGCATGCGATATTATGAGTCCACGTAAGGTGGGGTAGGGGAGCCACGTGGGTTTAGGTGATAGGTGACAGGTGAGGAGGTCGGTTTGTCCTGTCTTTCAGGCCGAGGGTGGTAGGGGTAGGGATATGGTACTGATGATATATGGTGATTTGGTGAGGATTATGATGACGTGGAAGCGTTAGGGGTGACGTGGGGGCCACGTATCTTCTTCAAAGGACGAGAATATGGAGGTTTTGCTCTGAGTGGACCGACTCTGTCTTCTCCATCGTTTATGACTTGAAACAGTTTTTTACAGTGTGACTTCGTGGTAATAAATGCACCTCCGTGGTAAATAAAGTGGAATTTTTTTCTTTTATTGATTACTTATTTAGTCTAGTAATAAATACACCTCTCTTTCGTCTCTTTTAATAATATCTCCGATTCTTATATTGTCGGTTACATAATTACAAAGATAAAAATAAAATGAAGTACGAAATTACAGAAATTAAACCCATTGAAAGAGGAAACTTGATGCATGAGGTGTTAGTGATACTCCAATGTGAGATGTTAAGTTAGTTGGAGATAGAACGAAATATTTCATATAAGAAGTTAGTTGGAGATAGAACGAAATATTTCATATAAGGTTAAAGCTTCTCCCTAATAGATGTGATATGATATATAATAGATTAAAACGGACAATATTTGCTAGGTTTACGCTGTTAAAAATGATATCAGAGCCAGATACTGAGTGGTGTGCCAACGAGAATGCTAGGTCCCCAAAGAGGGTGAGCTGTGGAAGTGAATGTTATCAGAGCCAGATACTGGGTGGTGTGCCAACGAGAATGCTAGGTCCCCAAAGGGGATGAGCTGTGGAGGTGGTGTGTCTAGACCTCCAAGGGGTGAATTGTGAGAGCTTAAATCGGTCGGAGAGAGAAACGAAATATTTCTTATAAGGGTGTAGAAATCACTTCCAAAATCGCTCCCTAGCATACGCGTTTTAAAAACGTAAAGTTGATGTCGATACATAACAAGTCAAAGCGGACACCTATTGCTACGGCTTCCTCAAATGCTCCATATTTTTCAACATTTAGCGAAAAAGAAAAGACTCAAAAGGCCTAGAAAAGAGAAAAAAAATGTAATTAAAATTGAAAGAGATGGGTCCTTGAGCTGTGAATTGAAGCATCACAGCTCACATGTAATCTTAGCATTTATTTGATAATGAAAAGGCTGATAAGCCTTGCCTTTCTTCTGCCCCAAAGGCCCATCTGTCACTTGCTCTTTGATTACCATTGCTAACCAAAACCCCCCCTTTGTCTCAGCTGACTCATTATCACATGCCTTTTGTGGTCCTAGCATCTCATTTTTGTTTAACTTTTCTCGTCCATATGGCCGAGAAACCTCGAATTTCGACTCGAGAGAAGGTGATCGAGTCGAGTGTTAATGTTTGACTCCAATTCCCACTTCTATCTCTCTGTGGTTGCTTGTGGGGATGGATATTGGATTGCTCCAAGGTACTCACTCAGCTGCAATGGTCCTGTAATGGGAATTGGCATGTTTGATCAAGTGAGACGTGACTTGTGAAGGGTCAGTTTTCATTGTCGCCCCCATCCTGCTTCTAAAAGGCCTCAACATTCATAATTCAGATGGCAATTGATTGTGGCGTTGGCCGAGCAATGACGTGCCTTCGATTCGGGGTTGGCACATGGTGGTGGCTGATGGTGGTCCTTACTTTCCATCACCCGCCCCCCTGCCTGCTCGATGACTCTGTCAACTCCTGCAAATCTCGTGCTACCTGAGAGTTGTTTAGACTTAATCAAAACATGGTGGCATGGCATTGGAGTGGGACGTAATAGTTGAAAAGAAAGTGTTACCTAAACAGACAGATTTGGCATTTGCCTTCCCAAGATAATGGTTTTTTCTTCTCCTTTTTCATTTGGCCAACAGTGGTTTCCACTGCATATTATATGGTCCAATGGAGCATCATTAGATACTTACCTTCAAGACTCTAATACCAAAAGTGGGCACCATTGAGTTGAATCCTTCCAAGTTGGGTCGGCATTGGACTGAGCTATCTATCAACTCAACCATTTGCCTCAACAGATCTCTAGAAACTTCCAGCAAACTGATTGTGGTCCTCTTTTATCATTGAGGAACATCTTATCTTGCTATTGCCACCATCTCATCTTCTTCACCTGATTTCAACTATCTTTTGAGCCTGTCAGAAGCCAAAGAGATGTCAAATTTCAGCAATGAGGGATTAAGAATGTGGTAGATAGTTTCATAAGCAACTGTTGTTTACTTGGAGTATCTGTCTAAGGATCAAGTGTAGGACCACGTTTCTTTGTGTTTATGCATAGGTTAAATCAGCATCAGATTCAGACCTATGAGTTCAATGTTTTCAATTTTCTCCTTGACAATCTCTTCATGTGTGGGCTCCAATACTACCCATATAAGAGGGCTAACAGATAGATTATTAATATGAAATGACAAACATTTAAGCTCAGAACATAGTACTTTAATGCTATATTAACTCACTAGTAGAGAGGAAATTACTTTTCTAGTACTACATTTAACCATACTTCCATTTATAATTCACCACATCAATAGCGTTCGAGAATAGTGTGACGTTATTTGAATAAAATTGTATATTACTTAGTAAGGTGTCAAAAAGTTAAATTGAAGGAGTAGGTATGGGGTAATATTTGAATTTTTCTTGAATAGTCGAACCAAAATCTTAAACTATTTAAGGTATGAGAAATTTTATCTTCTTAGCTGGGCATATCCTCCCAATGGAGTGTTCCAGTGAAATTCCACATCGGTTGGAGAGGGGAACGAAACATTCTTTATAAGGGTGTGAAAACCTCTTTCTAATAGATGCATTTTAAAACTTTGAGGGGAAACCCAAAAGAGAAAGCCCAAAGAGATATCTGCTAGCGGTGGACTTGAGCTGTTACAAATGGTATCATAGCTAGACACCGGGCGGTGTGCCAACGAGGATTCTGGCCCGAGGAAGGTGGATTGTGAGATCCCATGTCAGTTGGAGAGTGAAACGAAACATTCTTTATAAAGGTATGAAAAACTCTCCCTAGCAGACGTGTTTTAAAACTTTGAGGGCAGCCTAGAAGGGAAAGTCTAAAGAGGACAAACGGGTTGTTACAGTTCCTTCCTAACTTGGGTTGTTACAGTTCCTTCCTAACTTTTGAGTTAAGTTGTTTTTGACATAATACTAGAGATATAAGACACTTCCAAATGTCTTATTTTCTCTAAAAGCTAATATTGAGGTAAAAGTGGGAGCAAATCTAAAGGATGTATCCAAAACATTATTTTTTTTTATGATTATAAACTTAAAATTTTGGGCTCAATGCAATTTTACATATCTTATACAAAATGATAATGAATGTGAGTGAAAACAATGAAGAACACTGACAGGTTGGGCAATAAGATTCTCAGAAATTGCAGCAGGGAAGACATAGCCTCCACAGTTGCAGCCTTCGCGTTTGCCTCGGGTCAGCGGTCGCCATTCTTTCTGGGCTTCCGTTCCATTCTGTCTGTAAACTGTGAATTCAACAAGGCCAAGATAATAAGCTATATGTTTCAGTTTCAACAAATGAGGGAGCAAGAGCTAATGAAAAGATCAGCAAAATTACATTGGAAAAGCAAAAGAATGTGAGCTGTTGGTGCTGTCATTCGACCCAAGTGAGTCACTGCCCACATAAGATGAAAATGAGGGCCTTCTCACTGTGTTGAAAGCAGGATCAACCTCAGAGGAACCATCATCTCTCTGATAAACAAAGCCATAAATGCTTCTGTACCGTCCTGTTTGGTTTTCTGGTGCATAGTCTTCGGCTGTGGATGTCCTGCCACCGCCCCCTACTCCGCTCGGTGGTAAACCGGAATCGTGAAAGACGTTTCCACGTTCATTGTTGCTTCCAGCAACTCCTTTGCCTTTGAGCTTGTTTTCATCAAGTATCTTAGTCAATGATATAGCAATAGAGTTGGAAGAAGCTGCTACCCTTTTACCTGTTACCTACAAAGTGTGCAGACAATCAAATCAAGTCATCGAATTTTACAAAGATACGAACAAGTAAGCTAAGTTGAGTTTATTCCCACCTTTCTATCAAGATGCAATTTAGGCACAGATTTCTTATTGGAAAAGTCAGAAGGGATATCATCTTTTGCATCATAACAAAACTTTTGGTTCTCATTTACTTTGTTCAATAAGTTTTTCTCAACGACCTGTGTTGAGTCAGTACTCATAATCGACGACTCCACGTCCTCAGATTCTTCAGTTGTTTCGATGTCACTTTCTGCTACATTACTTTTGAGCATGCAGGGTACATAACCATTTTGTGTGTCACAGTTCTCCTCAAAGCACTCCTCACAAGAAGTTCCTGCTTTGTCAATGCAAATGTCTTTCACAAATTCATAGTTGGTTTCTTGAAGGAAAACAACAAGCTCAGGCAACTCGTCGTTGATTGAACTCGAGGAATACCGACTCATTCTATCTCCACTTGCTTCTGATTCACCAGGATCATCTTCACTCTCTTGTACAATACAGTTTCTTCTCTTAAATGACTCAACATCATCAACGTTCCCTTTGTTCTTCTCCATGCTTGGACTTTTACACATATTGTTCACTACCAAATCTGAAAATTCATTCCTCATTTATTCTTTAATGATGAACAGATCACCAAATTTCCTGGTTGGTAAGGTTGATCCTTCCAATTCTTATGAAGCTGACAATGAATTTGTGCAACACTAAATAAAACACACAATCAGACATCAATCATCTTATAATTGGTTCCATGACATGGAAAACAAACAGACATTCTATTTAATGTTGTTTTGGGAAAGTCAGCTCCGCTGATTGA